TCCCCCCCCACCTCCCTCCCATCTGACTTGCAGCTTTAACTCGCACCTGTGTGTTACCCAGCCCGGTCCCATGCTATGACTGCGGGCGCACAGCTGATGGGACACACGCCCTGCCAGCCAGCCGCTCCCTCTGCTTCTTGCCGCGCCTCCTCCACACGGAAGGCCCAGCCTCTGTCCCAGCCTCTGCTCTGCACGACCTCTGCTTGGGCTGCTTACACAGGTTACAAAGGATGTCATGGGCTTGGTGACTTGGCTGCAGATGTGAGCAGGCCCAGACGGCCCGGTCACTAGAAGGCCACTGTGCTGAATTTCAGGGTGATAGACAAAATGGTTGACCCACATCACGACTTCCCAACTGTGTCTAGATAGGACCATTTTGGTGACTGAAACGGCAGTGGCAATTCTCTTGCTGTCGCTTTTCAGTTTCAGAAAAGCAAGCGATCTCCCTGATAAAGCTATTTTTTTCCTCCCACGGGACTCAGCGCAACTCTTTCCAGAATGAATTCTTAAAAATGCCTATTGACATCTGTATTTTTCCCAAATTGGTCTCTGTGTGAAAACCTGTCTCCGTATTCTTCAATAGGCCACTGTGTTGATTCTCTCTCACCCCTCCGGGCCCCCACTCACTACATAGTTCCTGTCTCAGTTGCTCCCTTGCCATCGGCTCTTTAGCAACCTTTATACTCTCTGGAGGGCACATGAGTCAACTCCAGATGGAACAGTGTGCTGTCCCCATTTCTGTGGGGAGAGCATGCAGGACACCAGGGGTTGAGTGGTGGTGGTGCTGGTGGGGGCTGGGGCTTGGAGACTCACCCAGAGGGTGCCGCCGGAAGCCTGGTGGCCTCCGGGGGAGGCTGTGGTCCCCTCGTCAGCCGCCTTCGCGCTGCAGCTCGGGGGCTGTGACCACTCTGGCTCCTCTTCCATGGGCTGCTCACCTTTGCTCTTCTGTTTTCTTATGATCTGAGGAGGAGGTGGGTGACAGAGGGGACACGTTATTGGAGAGGCCTCCAGACACTATACGGAGTGGCTGGGGCCATCTTTGGGGCTTGTCTTTCACCCACGTAAGAGCTTAGTTTCAACAGAATGCCAGCCCGTTTCGGATCTGCCTGATGATAAAACAGTACAACGATAGCCTCGAACATTCTACAGCACTTTACGGTTTACCAGTAATCATTCCGTGATATTAACAACTTTTGTTTTTTAAGTGCCTACCACGTGCCAGACTCTAGGCTAGGCACAGTAGCTGCTTTGCCTCATTTAATCCTCAAAATCGTTCTGAGAGCGACACACTATCATACTATCACGGTCCCCACTTTACAGATGAGGAAACAGGCTCAGAGGGGTTGTCAGTTAAGGCCGCACAGCTCACGAATAGTGGGGCTGGATCTCAAGCCTGGCGTCTCTGGCTGTGAATCCTAATCTGAGGAAGCATCAGGAAGGCCTGTGAAGGGGGCAGATGCAAGAGTCTCCAGGGGTGGCTTCAGCTTGCGCGCACCACGCGCTGTCTTGAGCACGGCCACTGGGGTTTAACGGCCCATGTGTACAAAGGTCTCTGGAATTCCAACTTCCCAAAGGCAGGAAACAGCTGAGGAAGCTGCTGATCACCAACATGGGCATATTCTCCAGTGCCTTTTCAGACCAGGCGGGGTGATGAAGAGGAGGGCAGAGAGCCAAAGGCTGCAATGAACTGAGGCGCCGTGTCCAGCGAAAGCCCTGGGCCTAATTAAGACCCATGTCCCATTTCCAGGGTGAGGATCCCAACGCATGTGCCCAGTGGGACATCAGAGCTGCTGGGGACCAGGCACCTCCCGTCTCTGCAGGTGGGTGGGGCAGTGCTGCTTTTCTGTCTGTGTTCCAGCATTGTATGTTGGGTACATGGGGACGGGTGACTTGTTTGCTTAGTTCACAGGTCTCTCTAGTTTCATTAAAAGGAATTCTAAAGGGCAAATCCTTAATCTGTGCTGTTTAGAAAGCTGTATCTTCTAAATAAAATAAGGAAAAGGGGAAAAAAAAAGGAGCTGCATCTGAATCAAATGTACTTTGAACTGTGATTGAACGAGACATTTGGGGGTCTTTGGGAGGGGTGTGTGTAGGTGGCATGTAGAAGGGACATGAATTATTGTGGCCAAAAGGGAAGAATGAATTTGTTCCATGCTCTCTGTACACAACCCTTGGTTTGTGTGCCTCTGCTTCCCTCCCAGGACAGGGAGACTATACAGTTGACCCTTGAACAACACGGGTTTGAACTGCACGGGTCCTACTTAAAGGCAGATTTTAAAAAAACCCCGTGTCTATGTGGATCTGTGCAGTTTAAACTGCATTGCTCAAGGGTCAATTGTATTTTCGATCTGCAGCTGGGAATCTGTTATCTGTCAAGGGCCAACCTAAATTACATGTGGATTTTCAACTATGTGGGTGGTCGGTGCCCTAAGCCCTGCATCATTCAAGGGTCAAGTGCATTTCCCACCTTTGGCTCTGTGATGACTGTGTCTTGCTTTGGCCAATGGCATGTGAGGAGGGGGTGGTAACGGGTGTCAGGTCTGAGCCTGGGCCTTAACAGACGCCGCTGGCTTCTTGCTGTCTTGTGTTTCAGTCATGGCCACAAGTAGCTGATGTGCCTTCAGTCAGGCCCCAGAATGAACTTACTGCACAGACCTGAACCCAACCCACTGCTTGAGGCAGAGCCACTTACAGATGCATGAGTGAGAAAGAAATTGTAGCATAATAAAACATGGATTTGCTCTTTGACTCTGGTTCCTGGTACAGAGCTTCAAAAACCCTTGGAATTGTTTGAGTGACAGGAAAGTCTCTGTATGCTAACGAGGTGACTTGGCCAGGGCCACTAGAGAGATGGAGGCTGGTGGCTAAAAAAACCAACCAGACAGAGAAAGACGAACACCATATGACTTCACTTATATGTGGAATCTAAAACACAAAATAAACAACAACAAAAAACCCCAGAAACAGACTCATAGATACAGAGAACAAACTGATGGTTGCCAGATGGGACAGGGTTGGAGAACTGGGTGAAAAAGGTGAAGGGATTAAGAAATACAAACCGGTAGTTACAAAACAGTCACGGGGATGTGAAGTACAGCATCGGGAATAAAGTCAGTAACATTGTAATAACTATGGATAGTGCCAGGTGGGCAGTAGACTTACCAGGGAGATACTTCATAAGCTATATAAATGTCTAATGCTATGCTAAATACTATGCTGTATGCCTGAAACTAATACTGTATGTCAACTGGAATTGAGAAAACCAACCAACCATATGAACCACGGAACTTTCAGCTCCACCTCCCCCAGCCTCTGGGGAGAGGAGAGGGACTGGAGGTTGAGTTCAGGCAGGTGGTCAGTGATGTGACAACTATGCCTACTTAATGACACCTCAATTACCAACTCTGACACACTGAGGTTGGGGAACATCCCAGCTGGTACGCACACGGATGTGCTGGGAGGGTGGCGGGCATGGAGAGGGCATGGAAGCTCTGCCCACCACCCTCCACAGGCCTCGTGGTCCCACTATCTCTTCATCTGGCTGTGCATTTGTATCCTTTATAATAAACAGGTCATTGTAAGTTGCACTTTCCAGAGTTCTGTGAGTTGTTCTAGCAAATTATCCAACCTGATGGGGGTCATGGGCATCCTCGAATTTGTAGGAGGCTGGGACAGAAGTGGGTAACTTGGGGATACCTGAGGCTTGCACTGGTGTCTGAAGTGGGGGGCAGTCTTGTGGGACTGAGTCCTTAACTTGCGGGTCTCTGCAAACTCCGAATGGTGTCAGAATTGAACTGACTTGGAGGACACCCAGTTGGGGTTGGAGAACTGGCTGTGGAGCATAGAAATAATCCTTGTTTACAGCCACAGAGCTTTGGGGCAGTTGGTTTCTGAGTAGTCATTACTGATATACCATGTAAGGGACAGCTTAGGGCACAGAGGTAGCAACAGGGGGTGACTGCAAAATTTCTTCAGCAAGAGACTATTTGAGAAGTGGGAGCAAACATTCTGTGTGTCTCTCTCGCAGCCTAGGAAACAGGAAGCCGGCGAGTAACCTGCTCAGTGCTGAGTTCCTGGCTCCTCACCCACTGTTTCAACCCCTAAAGGCAGCCAGGCTCCATCCCTCGGCGTAGATTTCACAGGGAACGCAACCCTTCAGCATTAGCCCCCAGAGCACAGGAGGCAAAAGTGACGCGGCACAGAAATGATGCCCGAGACAACAGCGGTGCCCATGGCTGCTCTCCAGCTCGCTGGAGGCCCTGCTCTGGGCCCGCGTGGTGAACGGCCATCAGCGGATGCCAGGTCCACCTACCTTCTGCAGGATGGTTGTGGCCAGTTCCTCAGTCAGCTCCTCCTTGTGGTCCCGCAGGTAACTGGCCTCATTCTGCTTGTCCTGCAGAGGAAGGGAAGAGAATGGCTGTGGACTAGGGAGGATCCGGGGACTTGGCAATCACTTTTCAGGCATCCTGACCATAAACGAAGGGGGAGGTTGGGCACCGCTCCGGTCAAGGATGGCTACCATGACGTTGGTTTCCTGACAACCTGCGCTTTTTCCTGGAGGCCGGCACCCTGCCCCACACCTCCCCCAAGAGGAGAAGGGGGGCCGTACCAGGCTGTCCCCATAGGCTTCTGCTTTGGAAATGGCCTCCTCAATGGCCTCTTCAGCCACGCGGAGGGCAACGGCCAGTGTGTCCATCATGCTGTGTCCTAGACCGGAGAGAGAACACACATCAATTTCTAAAGGGGAAAGACGAGTAAAGTGATCGGTCCACTGTAAACAGTCCTGCTTACATCTCTCAGGGGCTCCGGGACACTTCTCACACTGCTCCCCCTGGTACACAACCCCAGGCCCGTCTCCCCCGCCTCGCTGCCTCCCATGAGTCAGTCACATCCCCTGCCCCAGACACAATCAATTATTCCTAATTCTTTGACAGCTACCACCTGTCTTCATTATCTTGTGACACCTCCTCATGCTGGTCCCCTGCTCTGTCACA